TATCTCGTGTCGTTTTCGTGTCGTTTCATCGTGTCGTGTCTGGGCCTATTATTAGGGCCTTAAATATTTGGATTTTGTATTTTCTTTTTTGTTTGGGCCTGATTGGTGATGATGGTGAGTCTTTAAGACTCATATTCATCTCCCCTTTTTAACTACTGTGATTTCTTTTTATGATCTCAATGAAATTTATTACTAAAATATGTTCAGTTTTACTTTATTTTTATATTATTATTTTTTAGCTTGTAAATTTTACCTTCATTTGTGCCCACTCAGTTCCACGTCTAGCTCCGTCCCTCAAAATGGCGATGTATGAAGAAAAAGTAAACTATATAAGAAAAATATAGAGGTTAGTTACCAACAAAAACACAACAAAATCTTGTAGGGGTATTTTTGGGGTGCCAAAAGAATGTAATTCAAAAATCAAGTCATAAGTGATATTTATAAAAGTAAGCTAAATTTTGATTCAACTCTTAGAAAACAGTCATATCCCATAACTTTTACATAGAAATAGCGTGTAGCCCATTGACCAATGAGAAGAAATACATAAATAGGATCATCGTTTTCTCTGGAGTACTTATTAGGTGAAAATGTCGATCGTAACATTCGTTGCACGCATAGTTTGCACACTATATATATGGTTTAATTTTGATAAAGCACCAACATGATCCCAATTCTTTTCCAAGGATTTTATGACATTCTGCCCTAAGTTTTGTTGGTGGAAACTTTTCTTCGCATAATTTCTATCACGCTCGTCTATTCCTTACTATATAGCTATTTATAGTCATACCTATCATAAGAAGACAAAACACAAAATATTAAAAGTCTCTCTTCAGTTATTTACTAGAGAATAAGTTATCCGATTACTCAATTTGTTAAGATATTAGAAATATTCAATAATATTTTTGAAAGGGTACTTCCCTTTTATGTCTCATAGATTTTATTACAAATAAAATCCGTGTGTTGCGTTGACTTTTGGACTATGCACCATTATAGAAAGGCCTACAAAATTGGACGGGTGATTTAAATTCTTGGCACATTCCCAAGTAGGTTATGTTCATCTCTTGCAACATCCTCTATTTTATACTTATCTAGATATATAGAAACCAGTGATCTATTCTAGGAATTCACTTTTACTGACTCTAGATGGAAAACGGAAATATTAATACTAAAACAATATATTAGCTTTGTTCATCAAGAATGTTGACTAGCAATTACATGGATGCCTTTCTATTTGCATGTGATTAATTCAAAACAGCGGGAAAATAATTTTGCTCAAGGAAAATTTTTTTTGCGAATGTCATCTAATAATACTTTAGTACTCATGGAGCATTATAAACTGATTTGAGTTAATATGTAAATCAAAATTTGACTTGAAGACTCTACAATATTGGACATCATGGTAATTTAAAAAAGGCCAAAGAAAGAAGGGAAGAGAACCGGGATTAGACCTAAATTAAAAAAAAAAATGATGTAATCATTATACAAACGGGAAGGGAACAATATGTTATACCGAAAATTAATCATAATTGGCTACATCTCGGTTCATGTCACAAAAAATCTGCGTTATTATCAATAAACGCGTGTGTTACACCACGGTCGAGGGATCGGTCACGCCCTCGACGTTAGGCGCCGAGGAATCCCCGTCCGGCTTGGCCGCCGGTGTCAGAGGAGTGGTAGCAGCTAAGGTGCCCTCTGCGCCGAGAGACGTCACGCGGAGAAAGGCGCCGAGGATGGACGCTCGACCCTCGATATCCACGGCGTTGAGGAATGCAGTCTAATCAATCCCATCGGCTGTCCTGTCAACTCGAGGAAAGAAGCATCAATCCAACGGTCGCTGCAGGAGTCAGTAGATCATGCGACAGATAAGAGGGGTCAGCCGCATTTCCTGAGTTTTTCATCATTAAAACCCACCTACCCTCCCGATTATCGAGAAAGGGAGATGGCTTCCTCCTTGGGAACGGAGAAGGCTTGTGGATTTTGTAATCACCTATAAATAAGGGAAAAATGACCCAGGAAAGGGTTAGACACCATTTTCGTTGTACGAAGGGAGAGCATCTGTAACCGACTGAAATATTAGTGCATGCACAAGTGGATTAGGCAAAGAATTATTGCCGAACCACTATAAACTTGTTGTCTCCTTTACGTTATTTTTGAGTTTTTATCTTTGATTGAACCGTGAGTGTTTTTGGAGAGGTAACTACGAGTTGTCGGAAAAACACCGTCAACAATTGGCGCTAGAAGGAGGGCCCAGTTAAGCCCATAAATCTAATCCAGTTCTTAACAAAAGCAATAGTCATGCCTCCCAGGAACGCTCGCCTGATGGCGGCCGACCCAAGGAGCCAGGCAACCCAGGATCCCAACACCGCGGGGACCTCGGCGAACCTACCCCCGCAAACCGCTACGAATCAACTAGACCGCCTCGACCAGCTCCAAAAGCAGGTCGAGACGCTGGCCGCGGCTGTGGAAAGGATGGCTACGGCCCTGGCCAGGCGGGAGCAAGGCCAGAACTCTATGCCGCCACTGGAGGACGCGCCGATGAACCCGGTGAACGCCGTTGCTGGGGACTAAGCGATTGGTGACCAACGCGGTGACACCGAGGAGATCGGTGACAGCCAAGCCAACGATCCCCGCCCGGCCAAGTCAAACAGGTCGGTGGGGAGCAAGCAGAGGGCGGCGTGGAGGAGTGCGCGGGAGGAGGCTGCGGCGCAGGCTGTGAATAACAGGAACGCGCCCCCTCGACCGCAACCCGACATGAATAGAAGGAACGCTGTCCCCGTGGGGTCTTCGTCAATATACGGCGGAGACCTTAGGACGAGACTCGACGCTCGACAAGGGAAAGCCGTGCAGCTGACGAGGGAGGAAGAGCTCGCAGCGGATAACAAGGCCCTGGCCGAGAAGATGGCAAGGCTCGAAAAGCAAATTAGGAGTCGATTAAACAACTTCGAGCAAGTTGTAGGGAAGGTAGCCAAGGCGGTCAATGTCGACGCCAAGATGTACACGTCGCACGACCAACCTTTCACCGAGAATATTATCCGGGTGCCGCTCCCAGACAAATACAAATCACCACCCATTCCACTATACGACGAAAGAGCGATCCGGACGACCACTTGGAGGTGTACACAGGACACATGGTCCTACATGGATACCCCGAGGAGGTTATGTGCCGGGCATTCAGGAATCACCTTTCCGATTCCGTGAGGAGATGGTTCAGATCCTTGAAGCCAAATTCCATTGCCAGCTGGGATGATCTGAAGAACGTCTTTTTGACTCAGTTCATATGTGTCAAGAAATACATCCCGCCAAAACAAAACCTCTCGAGGGTATACCAGGGACCTAATGAGTCCCTGAAGGACTGGACAGCCCGGTTCGGGGAACAAGTCACCGCCACTGAGGGGATCTCCGACGAGGTGGCCTTGATGGGAGCGCTGTCGAGCATGAAAAAGGACATCCCCTATAGCACAGACCTCGACCGGAGACCGCCCCACACCTACCAAGAGTTCTTGATGAGGGCGCAGGGGTTCATCAACGCCGAGGAGGCCAAGAAGGCCTTGAAGAGCAAGGCAGCGACCCCTGCTAAGGAAGAGGTGGGACAGACGAGCAGTCAGAACAATGGCAAGAAGCGCTGAGGTCTTCCTCAGGTGCAAGCCGAGCAAAGGTACAACCCGGCTCCGAGTAATAGGGGTGGCAACGCCTCGACGAGCTAAGGAGAAAATAAGCGGCCAAAGCCGCAGAGATATGACGCCTATACGCCCTTAATTATGGGAATCGAAGACGTCTACCACGAGATTAGCCACCTCCAAGTCCTGCGCCGACCACCGCCGCTAAAGTCCGACCCAACACGGAGGAATCAAAACAAGTACTGTCGGTTTCACGGCGAGTGGGCACACCACAGCTAAATGCTACGACCTGAAGGACGAGGTCAAGAGGTTGATCCGGGAGGGGAGGCTCAGTGAGTACCGAGCCGACCGACGGAACAACAATAGGCGCAATAACGACCGACAGGAAGAGCCAAGACATGACAACCCAGCCAAATCGGTCGGCGTCATTAGAACGATCTTTGGGGGAACTTACCTCGGAGGCTCCTCCCGACGCGCACAGAAGGAGTACGCGCGGGAGGCAAAAGAAAAGTTCAGCCAGAGGATAGTGAACGTCTCTGGACGCGAGGTTAAGGCAACGCGATACGAGGAGGCCGAAATCACCTTCTCGGAAGTCGATGCGAGGGGAGTACATTTTCCCCAGAGCGACGCTTTGGTCGTTGAGGCCATGATTGGTAACCACACGGTTTGTCGTATCCTGGTCGACAACGGTAGCTCTGTGGACATCTTGTATTCGGACTGCCTTGATAAGATAGGCATCCCCCGCGCAAAGCTGCAAAACAGTGCGCAGCCCTTGTACGGTTTCACAGGGGACAGTATCATCCCGGAAGGGGTGATAGAGCTGCCCATAACCATTGGAGACCGACCACACACCTCGACGGTCATGTCGAAGTTCCTGGTGGTGAAGGGAGGCGACCAATACAATGCAGTCATCGGACGCCCGACGCTGAGGGCCCTGAGGGTAGTCACATCCATCTATCACTAGGCGATGAAGTTCCCGATGCCTAGTGGGATTGGCAAAGCCCTGGGAAACCAGTATGATTCGAGGCTCACGTACTCGGAGACAATCCGCCACTACGCTGAGTCGACACAGGTACGCAAGGAATTAAGAACGGTCGAGGCCAGGGCAGAACAGTGTGATTTGGACCCAAGGTTCCCAAGAGACGAGGCCGAGACTGGACCGGTCAAGGAATTGGTCGAGGTGCCCATCGATGAAAGAGAGCCAATGAGAACACTAAGGGTGGGCTCAGAGCTGGGGACACAGGCCCGCGAGAAACTAGTCGAGTTCCTTAGAACAAGCCTCGACGTGTTCGCCTGGACCCACGAAGACATGGAAGGGATAAGTCCCGACATCATGTGTCACAGGCTGAACATTGATGAGAAGTATCCGCCTAAAAGGCAGAAATGACGACCCATGAACGCCGAGCGATACGAGGCACTGTGGGACGAGGTCGACAAGCTGATAAGGAACAACTTCATCCGAGAGGTCCTGTACCCCAGGTGGTCTCGAACCCCGTATTAGTAAAGAAGCCGAACGGGGACTGGAGGACATGTGTCGACTTCAGTGACCTGAATAAAGCATGTCCCAAGGATAGCTTCCCGCTTCCCCAAATCGATCAGCTGGTCGACGCTACGGCGGGACACGACCTGCTGAGCTTCATGGACGCGTACTCAGGTTACAACCAGATACCAATGCTCGACTGCGATGAAGAGCACACGGCGTTCGTCACCGACAGAGGCCTCTACTGCTACAAGGTGATGCCCTTCGGTCTCAAAAATGCTGGGGCAACCTATCAACGCCTCGTCAACAAGATGTTCACGGGGCAAATAGGAAAGTCAATGGAGGTTTATGTGGACGACATGCTAGTAAAGAGCAAGAAGACCGAGGACCATGTGGAGGACCTTAGGAGGATGTTTGGCGTACTCAGAGCGTACAAAATGAAGGTAAACCCCCGTAAGTGTGCCTTCGGCATAGCCTCTGGGAAATTCTTGGGTTTCATGGTGAGCAGTCCAGGAATCGAGGTGAATCCGGAAAAGATTCATGCCCTCCTCGACATGGAATCGCCAAGGAAGCCCAAGGAGGTCCAGAAGCTGACAGGCTGTGTGGCCGCGCTAAACCGGTTTATTTCAAAATCTACAGATAAGTGCGTACCATTTTTTGACACCCTGAGGGGCAACAAGCCATTCGTGTGGACGGAAGAGTGCGAACAGGCGTTCCAACAACTGAAAGAACACCTCGGGAAACCCCCTCTGCTGTCCAAGCCAACGACCGGAGAGGTGCTGAGCCTTTACCTGGCGGTCTCGGAAGACACTGTTAGCTCGGTGTTGATCCGCGAAGAAAAGAAGGTGCAGATGCCGGTGTATTACACTAGCAAGCGCTTCCTTGATGCGGAGACGAGGTATCCCCAGATGGAAAGCTCGCCCTCACGCTGATCGTGACGGCGAGGAAGTTACGGCACTACTTCCAGGCCCATAGCATTCAGGTCTTGACCAACCACCCACTCAGGCAGGTGCTACAAAAACCCGACACCTCCGGTCGGCTCTTGAAATGGTCCATAGAGCTCAGCCAGTTCGACATCAACTACAAACCACAGAATGCCATCAAGGGCCAAGCCCTGGTGGACTTTGTGGCAGAGTTCACAGGGTTACTGGACGACGCCGAGGAAGTGAACGAGACGCCGCGGTGGAAGCTCTACGTTGATGGGAGCTCCAACGACAACGGCAGCGGGGCAGGGCTAGTATTACATACACCTGAGGGACACAAGATCACCTCCGCCATCAGGTTTGACTTTCCCGCCTCTAATAACGAAGCCGAGTACGAGGCGTTGCTGGCTGGACTCCGGTTGGCGGAGCACCTAAAAGCGGGAAACCTAGACATCTTCAGTGACTCACAACTCATTGTGAATCAAGTGAAAGGCCAATATCAGACCCGGGATGAGAAGATGGCCGCGTACCTGAAGAAGGTCAAGGAAGCCCTAGGAAGGCTCGCAACCTATGATATACAGCAAGTGCCGAGAGCAGAGAATAGCAACGCCGACGCTCTCGCCAAGTTGGCAACGTCGAGAGATGCCGAGCTCCTGAAACTGGTTCCCATGGAGGTCTTGAAAGCCCCAACCACGGAAAGGAGGCCCGAGGTCGCGCCGGTGGACTACCAACCGGGTTGGATGGACCCAATCACCAGGTACTTAGCCCACGGTGAACTCCTGGAGGACAAACAGGAAGCAAAAAGGGTGAGGTATCAAGCAGCAAGGTACACGATGCATGAAAACATCCTATATCGAAGGGGCTACTCGACGCCCTTGCTCTGATGCCTCGGCGCAGAAGAAGCAAAGAAAGTGTTATACGAAGTGCACGATGGGATATGCGGGAACCACGCGGGGGGACAGTCCCTAGCTTACAAAATACTTCGGCAGGGGTATTACTGGCCGAGTCTCAAGAAAGATGCAGCCGAATACGCGAAGAAGTGTGAGAGCTGCCAAAGGTACGCTCCTACCCCTCGACTGCACTCAGAAGACCTGACATCTATAGTGTCTCCCTGGCCCTTCACCAAGTGGGGAATTGACCTTATTGGTCCCCTACACAAAACCCCAGGGGGGGTACAAGTTCGCTATTGTCGCCGTCGACTACTTCACGAAGTGGGTAGAGGCCGAGCCATTAACGACCATCTTGGAAGAGAAGTGTACGAACTTCATATGGAACAACATAGTTTACAGGTTTGGTGTGCCGCATTCTCTCGTGTCTGACAACGGGAAGCAATTCAACAACGACAACACCCGCCAATTTTATGAACTACTAGGGATCCACAAGAATTTCTCTTCCGTTGTATACCCCCAGTCCAATGGGCAAGTTGAGGCAGTCAACAAGATAATTAAAGTCACGCTCAAACGACGCCTCGACGCCCACAAAGGGAAATGGGCAGACGAGTTGCCGAAGGTGCTGTGGGCCTACAGAACAACGAGTAGAACTACTACGGGAGAAACGCCCTTCTCGATGGCATATGGGGTCGAGGCAGTACTTCCAGTCGAGGTGTCCATCCCGACCAACCGGATAACCCGGTATGAGGAGGGGAGGAACGCCGAGCTGATGGACTTGGAGCTCGACCTCCTGGAGGAACGGCGCATAGACGCGGAGCTAAGGCTCGCCGCTTACCGGGCAAGAACTGCTAGATATTATAACAAGAAGGTCAGGCAAAAGCACTTCGTGGTCGGTGACCTGGTCTTAAGGGTAGTAACCCCCAACACCAAACCCAGGAACTCCGGAACCTTGGGCCCAACCTAGGAAAGGCCCTACAGAATAAGAGAAATTGTGGCTAACAGGTCCTATCGGCTGGCGGAGCTCGATGGTCAAGACATCAAGCATACTTGGAATGCAGACCAGTTAAAGGTCTACTACCAGTAATCCGGGGCACGTCGACCGAGCAGAGCAGACCTAATGTCTCGATTTCTTATTCTGTCTCATTTCTTCCTTATGGTAGGCTGGAAAGCGACTTGTAAATTCTACATGAATAAAAAGCAACACGCGCGTTTAGCCAACGAATCTCGTCTCACGACTGTCTATTATTCCTGTCGATACGTCGATCGGACTAGTCCGTCGATACATCGACGACGAGGGGATAATACGGCCCCCACAAACTTGTGAGGGAGGTAGGGCTCCGGCTCGACCATACCCGAACAATGAACAAAGTTTCTATGCCCAAACATTTTACTACCTACGTCGACGTTTCTACAATGATCGGCCAAAGCCGAGTTATGAAACTCAGCTTGGACGAGGGGTGCTAAGGCCCGACATGAGGCCCCCCACAAAAAAAAAAAAAAAACTGAGCCCCCGGGAAGTAGCCTTAGCAAGAGATTCTCCACACAACAGAATGAACAAAGCGCGAATGTATATATAAAAAAAAATGGAAAGAGAGAGGAAACATAAACAAAAATAATTGTCTCGACCTTATGGTCATTACAAACCGCCAAATAAATATTGTCTAGGCCTCATGGCCCCACAAAAGAAAAAAGAAATTAAAATCTACTGCGCGCCCTCATCCCCGCCGGCATGCTCCTCGCCCCCCAGCTCCGGCTCGCGGCCATCCCCCGGCGCCCGCTCCGAGTCCTCGCCCACTGGCCCAGCCTGAACCTATGTCTGCTCGACCTCCTCTGCCGGTTGGTCCAGGTCGACAATCTCCACTTCCTCGCTGTCAGACTCGTTGAGGAAAGCAAGGTCGACATCTGGATGCTTCTTCCGGAAACGGTCGAGGATCTGGTCCCCAGCGGACTTCATGAGGGACAACTGGAGTTCCTCAAACTCGGCGGAGTCCTGATAGGCGTCGAGCCTCTGGTTTATGAGCTCCTCAAAGGCCTCAGAGGACTTGAACCGCTTCACATGCCCCCTCAATGATCTACATGCCCCCTCAATGATCTCCTGGAGCTCCCTAGACGCCTTGAATGACTCCAGCTTGGCGTCTACCAAACGACCAAGCTCCTCGGAAGCCATGAAGTCCCGGACCGCTTGTGAAGCCACATCCCTCTGCTACTGTTGGAACTCGGCGGACAAGCGGTATTCCTCGACGGCCTTGGATCTCCCCGACTGTTCGCCCTCCCGGAAGCTGGCGGCCTTCTTGGTGGCGAGGCTCTCCTTCAGAGACTCCACCTTGGCCTTCTCGACCTCAAGGTTCAGGGAAGCCTCTTCCCGGGCGGCGCGAAGTGTCTTGAGCTCTTGCTCGGCGTCTTTCGAGAACGTCCCCTTCTGGATCAGGTCCTCCAACTCTACATAGTTCTTGAGGGCGAGTTCAAGGGCCTGTGTACCAAGGGAGGGGGATGGGACGAGATTAGAACGCGGAGACGGAACCCCAAGTAAGGAAAGGCAAAAGGGGAGGGACATACTGAGAGTTGGCACGTTACGGTAAGACGCTGGTGCTCCAGGATGCTCCTCCTTGCGAAGGACTCCCAGGAATCGGCATGGAAGGGCGTGTAAATGGCCTGGATAGGAAGGCTAAAGCGGGGAGGGAGGCGCAGAGCAGTATGCAGATGCCTCAGCACAACGTCCGTGACAACGAACTTGGGGTCATCCACGGCCGACCCCGGCATCACTAGCGGCTCGGGTGCAGGAGGGGCCTCCTTGACAGCCTTCCCCTTCTCAAGGCGTCGGGCCTTCTGAGAGGAGGACTCCTCGACCCTCGCCGGGGCCCGGGACTCCCCGACCCACGGCCCTGTGGCCGAGGGATCGATCACCAGCATCCCCCGAGGGTGGGGGTCGGCGACACGGGGAGAGGGAGTGACTTGAGTGGGCGGTTGCCTCGGTGGTTCCAAAACCTCATCCCTGTTCTTCCTCTTCCTCGGCCTCGCCGGGACGGCATACCTCATATCTGATGGCATGGCTGCGGAAAGAAGAAGGGATAAGTTTGAAAACTTCGAGACCGTAAGCCTCGACCTCAGACGGCAACAAGGGAGAAAAACCGTGACTTACAGCTCAGAAGGTCCGCGGGAGGACCGATAGGACGTCGAGGAGTATCGAGGAGCACGGATAAGCCGTATTCTTCCCGGTTCTTGGCAGTGTTGAGAACCGAAGCATGGCGGTTGTCGTCGGGCAGGGCGAGAATCCGCTCGACGCATGCAAGAGCAGAAGCGGGGAGTTGCGGCCGAGGGACGACTTCATTTGCAACAGGGAGCAACACGTTAGTAGGCTCGACGGATGGAGTCAGCGCTATAAAAATAGAGTATAAAAGGCGGAGGACCTACAGTATTTGCTGAATATGGTTTGCGTCCCCAAAAGACGCTCACCGTCGAGAGGGTGGGAATTAAAGTTGCCCCCAAGGAAAAAGAATTGGGGCTTCCACCCGTGGGCACTGGAGGTCTTCTCGACCACCAACGGGGGAACTGGAGGTTTGGACTTGGCCGAGGAGGCCAAGTAGAAAAACCCTCTCTGGTCTGGGGAGGCCTTGAGAGAGTAACAGTACAAAAATTCATTGACGGTCAAGTCGACCTTTAAGAATTTCCTCCACAGAATAACCATGGAGTTAATTGTCACCCAACATATGGGGGACAACTGTGCGGGGGATATCCTGTGGATGCTACAGAGGGCCTTCACAAAAGGATGAAAGGGGATAGTTTGCCCAAAGCTAAGAGCCCGGGTGTAAACAGTCATATGGTTGGCAGGGGGGTTGTGGGCCCGGTCGCTGGGGGTCGGGATGATCAAGTAGAAGTGTAGGGGGTCGATCCCGGCATCATTGAAGGCCTTCAGGGTGGCCTTGGGCCTAATTTTAGACGGGTTAACGTCCGTGGCCAAACCCGAGAGGCCGCTGGACGACGCAACCCCATACCCTCGGCCTTCAGCAAGGCCGGCCTGCGCACCCGTGTCCTCCTCGTCGAGGAGGATCAGCTCGTCTGACCGAGAGGGCGTTGCCGACGCCTCTCGGTAATCCTCCACCTGCCGAAGCAGAGATCTACACTTCCGTCCGAGGACGAGCTCGTCGTCGCCACCTCGACCGAATCTCCCTCACCCTGGACGTGGAGACCTCTCGACCCCTAGCTTGTTTGGGTGGCATGCTCTAGAAAACAAACAAAGGGCGGAGTTAGATCCTAATGGTCGAGAGGTCAAGGTGCAACGCAAGGAGGCACAAAGAACGACACACCAGCCAAAGTCCCCAGAGCCTGTGGCTGAGAACTCAAGCCCAGCCCCGGGCATACAACCAGCCACGGCGGAGGAAAACACTTCTTCCCCCTTTTTTCCCATGTTTTGGTACGGGGTCATTGTTCTACATACAGCGGTACCGGGACAATAGCGGAAACAGGGAAGAATGGGAACTTACCAGTTGTTAGAAGACGTGGGCCTGAGAAAAATAGCACAAAGGAGCGCAAGAAGCACAAAGGAGCACGAGAAAGCGGAGGCGTTTGGGAGAAATCCGGCAGCGTAACGGCGTTCAAAGAAATGTGCAGCCCCAACGCCCTCACAAAAGGGTTTAAATACGTGCCCGAGGAGTCCAAGGGCCTCCAGATCCTGGCCGTTGAATTCAATTCGTTTCCATCCGACGGTGAATGCGAGAAGGCGTGATCCAACGGTTGGGGAGCAAGCAATGAAGAGGGGTCCAATCGGACAGCTGCAGCTCGCCCTCCAGGGCCACGTGGCGCCAGGGAAGTAAGAACGTGTTTGTTGACAAGATCGACGTGACGGTTCCACTGCCCAAGACACCAACCGCAATGATCGCTGTGCTGACCAGCCGCCACTGCTACCTGCAGAAGGGCTCTTCACTCGAGGCATCCCCGACACTGAGTAGCCAGGAAAGTCGCACCACGACGTCCCAGCCTAGGGGGTAATTGTTACACCACGGTCGAGGGATCGGTCACGCCCTCGACGTTAGGCGCCGAGGAATCCCCGTCCGGCTCAGCCGCCGGTGTCAGAGGAGTGGTAGCAGCTAAGGTGCCCTCTGCGCCGAGAGACGTCACGCGGAGAAAGGCGCCGAGGACGGACGCTCAACCCTCGATATCCACGGTGTCGAGGAATGCAGTCTAATCAATCCCATTAGCTGTCCTGTCAACTCAGGGAAAGAAGCATCAATCCAATGGTCGCTGCAGGAGTCAGTAGATCGTGCGGCAAATAAGAGTGGTCAGCCGCATTTCCTGAGTTTTTCATCATTAAAACCCACCTACCCTCCTGATTATCGAGGAAGGGAGATGGCTTCCTCCTTGGGAACGAAGAAGGCTTGTGGATTTTGTAATCACCTATAAATAAGGGAAAAAGGACCCAAGAAAGGGTTAGACACCATTTTTGTTGTACGAAGGGAGAGCATCTGTAACCGACTGAAATATTAGTGCATGCACATTAGATTAGGCAAAGAATTATTGTCGAACCACTATAAACTTGTTGTCTCCTTTACGTTATTTTTGAGTTTTTATCTTTGATTGAACCGTGAGTGTTTTTGGAGAGGTAACTATGAGTTGTTGGAAAAACACCATCAACAGCGTGTATTAAATAGTTGGAGTTATTTAAAAAAATATATTGTTTGTATTTTGAAGTTTAAGCAATTCTGATAAAAAATAAAAATAAAAACAAAACATAGAGTTTACCCAACTGTTTTGGGGAGTTGTTTTCTTCTTTAAAAAAAAAAAAAAAAAGAAAAAGAAAACAAAAAAAAAATTTCAAAAAAGCGAACAACTACTCAGATAGTGCTACAATTGTAACAAACAATTTGCTGTCATGGACTTTGACTGCCACAAAGATAAAAAGACGGGTGAAAAAAAGAGAGAGAGAGAGAGTGCAACCCTACTCACTAATTATTTATAATTTCATACTAA